ACCAAACTAATTTGGATGAATGGGAACCGAGATGTATCGGAGAGACTTTAGGGAAGATTGAAATTTATAATCTTCCCGACCTAAGACATTCTGTTTCTGAATTGGCTTTCCCCGTGTGGCCTTAGAAGGGCTGCATATTTCCAATCTCCTTGAAGATATGTAAACATAACGCTTCCAAGGGCATCATGCCTTGATAACAACACCTTTATCGGATTTTGCCAGGAGCCTCAGCCACCTGGTTTCGTGGCCCTGTGACGTTACCACCTTCACTCATATCTTTGTTTTGCCCCTTTGTTTTGTCTGAATGTTGCCACCTGCCCTAATGTGTCCTTTCCTCATTTTTGTTTTATTTTGTTAGAAACTGTGGAGTACTCCCTATTTAACCTAGAAAAGGATTATGTTAGTTTATTAGTAATATTAGAAATTGTGGAGTATGCACTACTTAGATCAACATTATACAGCCCAGAAATGGAATCAGAATTAGAATAACTACGAACTTGGAATCCAGAAATACTTAACAGGATCAGTCACTGCTGAGTTTATATGACTTTTAACCCAGAAAAGGATTTAGATGAGTCACTCTTTAGCTTATTTTATCAGAAACTGTAGACTTTCACCATTTAGAAATGGAATTAGATACTTGGCAACCCTGAACAGGAGCACCTAGTTTATATACTTTAGAATATTAGATTAGTTTTCTTTCCTCTTTTTTTCTTTCCTTTGGTTTATTTTGTTATTTCATTTTAACTCATGTAAAACACTTTGAATTGCCTTGTTGCTGAAAATATGCTATATAAATAAAATTACCTTACTAACTGGTTCCGTCACCTGGAACATGATCAGAGCAATATTTGGATGCAGAACGGCTGAAAAGTGAATTCTCCTGTGCTGAGTGGCATCGTCTCCTTAAAGCTGTGCGACCCTTTGACCTTTCAGAGCAGTGAGTTTGTCTCAGAGCTGCTGTGGAATTTCATAACGATGTTGGTCGGAGCAACACTTAGTAACAAGATAGCTTAATGGTGGCTCTCCTCTGGCTGCAGGAATGAAAAATAAATGCTCTAATTTGGAGAAAAGCCGCGGCTTTTCCGCCTGAGTGTTTCTGCTGCCACTTTCGGATGAAGCTAATCGAGTTCAGGAGACGTGTTTGCAGAACTGCCGCGTCCTGCTCGCCTCAAACCTGGTTGTTCAGCCATCTCATGACATTAGAAGGTCGATCCGGTCCGCTTAATATAAAACCAATGAAGTTTGCATTCTTAAGCGTTCCTTGTTCCTCACTGCCAAACTCCTGTTCCATTATATGCTGTGATGCGTCTGCCACATGTTAGAGACGGTCTGGATCTCGCTCTCTGCCTCCTCTTCTCATTTCCTCGATTCTCCATTAAATCCTTCCTGCATTTCTTTGTGTTGGCTCACCTGATCACAGGTTGAGTCTGGACAGCGACCCGACCTGCTCCCCGTTTGTTTACAGAATATTTCAGCTGTAAAGTTGGACAGTTTTATGAATGAATTCAGATTTGAAAATTAAATTCTCAAATAATTTGATTACAATTAATTAAGTCAAATATCAACACGAGTTCTGATTCCATGGCTTAATTCAGACCCAACCATTACCAACCCAACTAACTAGTTAATGACTAAACCAAAGCAGGCATCTGATTTTAACCCAAGAAGGAGAAACTAAAGTGGACGCTGATCCCTGACCACGAAGATCATCGATTTATCTTTTGTGTTAAACCAGAGATCCGTGTTAACGCAATGACAAATTTATACAAAAATAAACTTCCACTAAAAGTCCTTTAAAAGCTCGTAAAAATCCAGTTCAGTCCCTGAAACCCAAAGACTAAGTTCAGATGGAGTTGCAGTCCTTCAGCCCGTAGGGAGGAACTCTTCCTGGACGCTCAGCAGGATGAAGGAAGATGCCTTTCAAGTTAAAAGCATGAAAATAAAAGCAGATAACCCGTTAGACACCAGCCGAAGATAAAAGACTGAAAGTTTAGAACCGACCCCGTGGGCCCCAGCTGAACTTCACGTTCATCTGGACCCGACCCAGATTCAGAAGATAAGTCAAACATGTTCAAACTGAGCGGTACCGAGACGTCTGAGTCAGACCCGACCTGCAGAACTTCAGGTTTATCCCAAATGGACCTGCAGCGACGGAGATGAAAGCGGTTCTGAACTCGCTGAAGCCATCGGACCATCACATTCATCACTAATCAGTACCAGAGCGGACTGGATGCACACAGACGGTTCTGATCAGAGTCCAAACGGCTCAGAAGTTCTGGAAGCTAAATGTTCTCTTCTGATGGAAACCAACCTTTCAGAACCTCTCATCTGTTTAACTGGTTCTGCTCAACTGCAGAAATGTTCAGAGGCATTTCAGTCAGGATGAGGTCTGGACTTTGACTAGACCAGCTTCTTAGTTCATGTAATTATATTTTCAGATCATAGCATTAATAATGAATGAAATCCAAAGACCCGAACGACCAGAACCGGGTTTAGAGAGAAAAGCAGGAAGGAGCTCTGTCTCCTCGTGAATATTTGATTGTATGACTTTTATTCTGAAGAGATTAAGTCTCAATAACTTCATCCTAAGAAGTAAATCCAGTCTGACCCAAAAGAACCTTCCACTGGTTCTGACCGCAGAGATCGCCCAACTCTGTTTTATTTCCTGAAAGTCAAAAACTTGTCCTGCGGTTTTAGTGGATTTTCAGCAAAATTTTTAAAGTTTAATTTTCACTTTAGAGACCGAAGGTCCAAACGGTTCTGACCTGCAAACCACCAGAACCTTCAATCCCATGCAGCAAAAAGGGTGTACTTACTTTACAACATGTGACTTGTGTGTAATGATGGGTGCAGAAATCAGACTCCATCTCCCCCTGGTGGCCACCAGAGGAAGTTCATCAAGCCTGGAAATCAGCATTTTCTCCTGCATTCAGTTTCTTTTATTAATCAGGAACATTTTTATAAATAAATACTGCAGTGCAAGATGAGGAATGAAACAGAAACACACAACAGTCCAATCAGTAGAAAACCGGAATCAGAGCAGAAAACAGTAAAAAACAGTAAATTTAACTCAGTTTGTGGCCGATCCGTCCCTAGAAAATACATCCAGGTTTGTTTTCAGGGCAGAGCAGCAGCTTGTTCCAGCAGAGACTGAATGATAAAACTCATTCTGCCTGAAAGCTGCTTTCAGAAGGAGCTCAGCAGGATTTAACACCCGGGAGGCACAAAACGAGCCGCCACTTCCTGCTGAAGACGTTTCCTGTTCAGCGTGGATGAAGGTTGATGGTTCTACGCCCGGATGGCCAGTCTGTGGTGAAAACATGAGGAATTACTCGAGTTTCTCACGCCCTTCAACAGATCGCAGCCGTAAACACGTCAAATAAAAAACATCAGTAAAAAAAATCAGTTTATAAAAGCAAACTGGAGCTTTCAGAAAATATTTAAAAGAGCTGAAGGCAGATCGACCCGAAGCAATGCCATGTTCCCTCTTCGGCCAGCAGGGGCGCTGTTCAGGACGACAGCTTGGAGTAGCTGGGAGGAGAAAATTTACGCTTCAGGTATTTGATGATGTAGAGAGGAAGACAGCTGACAAGCGTGATGGCCGACACCTTCCAGAGGAACGGCCATGTTGTGATGAAGGACAGGTCTGAGGAAGAAGAGGGACACAAACTAATTTAACAAGAAGCTTTAAAACGTTTCCAGATTTGGTGTAAGGTTACGTTCACACTGCAGGCTGAAGCGACCCACATCTGGTTTTTTATCTGAATGCGACCTGCTCCTGATCTTTTCATGACTGATCAGATCTTCTCCAATGTGATACAGGCCAAGTGGATATGTGGTTCTGAATCCGATGCGTATCGGATCTTTTCAAATGTAACCCGTCTGTTCGGGCAGGTCGCATTCATCCAACCCGAACGTCTTTGATACTCGACAAACGTCGCTATTCTGCGTCCAGCGTGGCGGACCGCAATGAGGATCGAGTTGTTGATGTGCTGCTCCAGTCGGACTGTAAGATACGCTCCACCGTTGGCATCTGTGTTTACTTCCACAAACACTGAGCTCTTCTTTTTTTATGGCGGTTGGCTAAACGCTGCGCTTCCTCTCTACGAGTGACGTTATTGCGCCCTCTACTGTGCATGCGGGACGCTTTCAGGTCGTTTGCAGCTCACTGGAGATCACATACAAATCGCCTTTCTTTGGAAGAGTGAACGGCCACGAAGAAAATCAGATTTCACAAAAAACGTAATTGGGTCACTTCAGTCTGCAACCTGCTTCTGTCTCCTTACTGAAGGGGGCGCTGCAGATTCGTGGCATCGCCAGCAAAGAGTTTACAGCACTCGCAGCAGGAGACTGCAGCAAAGTCAGAGAAAACCCGGAAACTGAAGCCGGGTTATTGCTTCAGATTTAAATCAATGCAGAAACTTTGACCAATGAAGAGCTAACATCCCCCTGATAGACCCCGCCCACCTCCTCCCATTGGCTTTTGGCCCAAACCTGAACCCAAGAACCAGCAAGAGGGAAGTCCAGGAAAGCAAGATGGGTCACAGAAACCCAGGTTGGGTTTAACAGAAACAGCAGGAGGTGAGGAAAAGACGACAACCTACCGAGAAAAGCTCCAAACGACACTCTGCCGATGCCTGGAGCAGAAATCACACAGAAGAAGAAGAAGCAGACATTAGACAGAAGAAGAAGAAGCAGTGAGGAAGATGAAGGAGCGATGGGCGGAGCCTCTAGTTCTTTAGCATCATTAGGACCAAACCAATAGAACCTCAGAACAGCTGGAGGGAAAAGGTGAACCAAATTGTTTCCAGTTTCCTCCTCTGACTGGACCCTGACCCCTCCGTGACCTCATGTTGACCTCATAATGACCTCAGAATTTCTAGGATCCTTAAAGATCCTAGAAAAATATGTTAACAATAATCTGGGGAGATTTTACGATCTGATCCCCTTTGAAGGACATCCCGACGCTCCGGTCTAAAATTGGGAATATTCAACTTGTCGGATCGTCTTGGGCTGTCATCACAGCATGCTGAGTGCAGCCAATCAGAAAGCGAGAAGCGGAAACATGGAGAGGAACCCTAAACAACGGCGTGGCGCACCAGGAACGTCTTCCACTTCTCTGCAGTTGGCCATGTTTGTTTACTGTGACTTCATGTTTGGTCAGGAAACGTTTTGTAAGCTCTCCCGTCTGGAATCCAAATGTTGGCGAGTGAAATCCACACATTGTGGCTGCAACCGACATCAGACATACAACGGATTAGTGTGCAAAAAAGAGTTAGTGATCGGCATTTGTCTGTTTAATTCCAATAAAACCGTGTTTCCCCAATTTCATTCTTACAAACGCCTCAGTATTTAAAATATTTTTAAAAAGGTAGGATATTCTAATTATTAGTGCATACATCTATAGGTTTTCATTTTTAACGGGTAGGATATTCAGATGAAGGAAGTGATCTTCTTGTGTTTCGTTGCGTTTATAAATTGTTCCAATGCTAAGCTAACCAGAACTCCTAAGCTTCCACTTCAGTCACTCAGATAATGTTACCAATGTATGTAATATTAACAACCTGATGTAGTTTTAGTTTGTAAACATGACGGCAGCAGTTCTGGACGGGTAGCACCAACAGATAGACTTATCTATCCATCTGTGCTAAGGCAGGAAAATCTGACGAGGTAGCGCTGATGGTCAGACCACCGGAGCTCAGATATTATGGACCCCTGACCGGTTCTGCTCGGCCCATGGGACCCTGGTTTCAGGACGGCTCCCTGAATAGGCCGCTCTTTGCATCCCCCTCGGGTCAGGAACCAGAATCGGCCTAACTACCAGGTCCACGCTGGTCCGGAAAGGTTCCGTGAGCCGTACCGAAATACTCGTTGAGGAAGGCAAGCGAGGCGAGGTAGCAGCCCAGGCTGAAGAACTCGGCCAGAACCATGAGCCAGTGCCAGGTCCGGACGGTCAGCGCCACCATCAGCAGCTCCGTCAGAACCAGCGCCGTGAACGAGATGGCCACCACATGGACGAATTCAGACTCGAACAGAACCAGGGCGCCGTACATCAGGATGCCACCTGGGGGTGCCAAAGATACATGTCAGAGTTCAGGTCAAAGGTCAACAGGACTGAAATGGTTCTCATTTTAAAAAGGTCCAAACAGGATTTCACTGAAGTCGAATTTATTCATGAAAAAAAAATCAGAGAAAAAAACGTGTTGAACTGTTGAGTTCCCACTCAACCAGGATAGTTGGGGTGGGTTGGTTTAACTGGTCCAGTTGGACTGGGTGAGTCTGTGGTTTGCGGTCTCCAATGAGGGAACCAGTGGGTTTCCCAGTTTGACAGCAGAGAGCTAAATGGCGGGAATCTGGAATTTTCCAGAGTTTTTTTTCCAGCTGTTGGTTCCGGACCACTGACGGCCAATCGGACGGTAAACGGCCGAGACTCCCAACATCTCACTGGGAAACTCCCAGCAGGACCAGCGAGTGTGAAGATAAGGCGTCTGACCTTTGACCTGCGGTATCCTGATAGCGGCGCTAATTCAGCGTAATCAGCCTCTAACTGATCGCATAATTGCTGCGATATCGGCCTGATCGTGGCGCATTCCGGCCAGGCGGCCTCCGGAACACGGAGCCAAGGCGCCGCCTCCCGGCCCGGCCCAGCCAGGCCCGGCCCATTCGGGTCTTTAATTAAACCCGGCGCCGGCAGGAAGTCACGCTACGGCTTAGCAGCTATGCTCGGATCGGCTTACGGTCCAGAGAGACAGAAAGCCGAGACTCTGAGAAAAGGATCAGAACTGGGAGAGGAGGCGGAACCTCAGAGGGACCACTGACCCAGACAGAAGCAAGCTGGGAGAAGAAGCATCAGAACCGGGCCAGAACCGCTTACCTTGATAGATGCTGATCAGAACCCAGATCAGGAAGGTTTTGAAGGACAAGGAGCGACCCTGAGAACACAAACACAGTCAGAACCTCCAGCAGAACCGTGGAGTCACCAGAACCGAGCTCGGTACCTTGGTCAGATCCTTGTAGAGTTCTGGGTAGAGCAGTGCCGTCTCGGGCTTCACGTCCTGGTCCAGAACCAACGAGAAAACGGGGAACATGGTGTAGATGGTGGCGTACCTGGAACCGGAACCAGAACGGGTTTACTCCCCTGATACAGTACCATCAGAACCAGAGATATGGTACCATCAGAACCAGACCCAGCCTGGGTCTGATCACACAGAACCAGAACTGTCCTGCAGGGTTGATGCAAACGCCAAGCAGAGAATTCTGGCTTCACGCTTTTATTCTGAAAGCCTGGACCTACTGGGCCAGTCAGAACCTGCTGTTCTCATGGCAGTTGGAAACCCAGTTCTGCTGGTTCTGTTGGACCTCTGGTTCTGCTGGACCTTGGGTTCTGGGCGCAGAGGGGTGCGTACCCGACCATGAGGAAACCCTGGTAGAGCGGCACAGAGGCGAAGAAGAAGACGGAGGAGAAGACGGCCTGAGGAGAAAACAAGCGGGTCAGAGGACTGTCCTGGAGAATAGATCGGGTCAGAACCGGGACAGCCGCAGAACCTGCATGGTGGAGATGATCATCCCTCGGTGCATGACGAATTGTCCGAGCGCGGCCGAGCGCTTGTAGCTGTTCCTGCCGTGGACCATCAGCAGGCGGCCGATGTGCCGGAACTGCGAAACAGAAAAGTCTGCAGCCAGCGACGCCTGCTTCCCTTCCTGCACACAACCAGAACGGGTCAGAACCAGGGCTTCTGGTTGCTCTCCAGCTGCAGGAAGTTAATGCACAGTAAACGGGATTATAATCTCAGAAGAGGAGGATTTACTTTTCCTTCAATCCCGATGCCGCAGTCTGCAGCCTGGATCATGCTCACATCGTTCCCTCCGTCTCCTGCAGCACAAACCCAAACTCCCAGCGGTTAGCATGCAGCTAAACCAGGAAGACTGTCATCTAGTGGTCACATGGAGGAACTACCAGCTCTACTGTCAGGAAGCTGCTTTATGTGGCTTAACCTGGGTGTGAGCGTTTACTGTGAAGTTTATCATTTTTATCATAGTAAATTTCTTAAAAGAATTACAATTTATTGTTGATAAATTTCAAATTACGATGTTAAACTACAGCATAAACCTGCTTCGTCAAGTGAAAACAATAAAATAATAAGTTCATCTTCTCCTGCAGCAGCAACAAAATCTGAGATCACCAGTGAAGAATAAATCCCACAGGAAGCTCCGGAGGGAAGCTGGGTCCGGTTCCGACCCGGTGAAAGCCCACCTATGGCGCAGGTTCTGTTGGCTGTGTGCTGCTGCAGCAGCCGGACGATCTGGGCCTTCTGTGTGGGCGAGCATCTACAGCAGACCACAGCTGGGCACTGGCAGGCCAGCTCCACGAACTCATGCTCATAGTAGCGCAGACACACCTGGACAGAAAGGAGAGAAGCACCCAGTTCCGGTTCTGGTTCTGACCCGGTTTCAGCTCTCCTACCTCTAGGGAGTCTCCGGAGACCACCAACGCGCAGTCATGCTTCCTCCTGAAGGCGTTGAGCTCCAGGTGCGCCTCCCCACGGCTGCACACCTGGTGAGAGCCAAACGCACAGTCAGACTGACTGACCTGCACGAAGCGGCAGTGTCATGCTGCGGGCCCGCGCACCGGCTTGAAGACGTGGACGTCCTGAGTCCGGGACACCAGGTGGGAGCTCTTGGCAATGCAGGTAGCCGTCTCCATTTTGTCTCCAGTCAGCATCCAGATCTGAGGAGAGACGGGACGGTGAGGAGCGGCCTGACCCGGAGTCCGGTCCTGGTTCCGATCCTACCTTGATGCCGGCGTTCCTCAGCAGCTCCAGCGTGGGTCGGACGTCGGCCTGCAGCTGGTCCTCCACGCCGGTCAGGCACAGCAGCTCCATCTCCCTCTCCAGACTCTCCACCACCGCCGCCACCTTCAGCGTCCGGTCCAGCAGGCTCAGCTTGGCCTGGCTGTAGCGGCTCTGCTCAGACAGGAAGTGGGCCCGGTCAGACAGGAACCAGAACTGGTGCAGGAACCAGTTCTTAGCTCAGGAAGGAGTGTCCAAAGTGCGGTCCCGGGGCCATTTGTTGCCCCAAAGAAAAGTTCCAGAACAATACAAGGTCTTGGATGCAGATGTTCGATCTCTAATCAGGGTTACTATAGATCCGTTTCTTACTGAGGAAACCGTAGCTATGACAACGTATTCGTCTGTTTATAGCCAAGCTTTTATAATCTGTAGTGTCCCTTTGATCCAGAGACAAATGCCCTGAAAATGTGAAAACTAACCCTTTGAACTGCCTTGTTGTTGAAATGTGCTATACAAATAAATTTGATTGATTGAAAACGAGGCCACATCACCAACCTTCCACTTGGCAGCAGGAGTTTTATGGAGGGATTTTTCTGCCATAATTCGAGAGCACACATTTTCAGTCTGAAAGCAGCACTTTGTGTCTTTTGTTCTTTAAAACTTATAATGTTTGTTCTCAAAACTGCTGCTCTCTTTCAAATATTCACTCTGCTCTCTCAAACTTTTCTCCTTCCGCTCAACACTTCTCTCTCCTGGGATCAAATCTCCGCTTGCAGACGCCTCTGCTCTGAATCATTTTCTGCTCTCTGGAAGAGAAAAGTACCGTCGCCTGGCAACCTCTCAGCCAATAGGATGAAAGTGTTGTACTGGGTGTGTTTGTTTCCTTCTAGTGGGTGAGCCTGCGTGGCTACTATTGATTCTATCTATCCATCATATCTGTATATTACTATAAATGTATAATGATTGATATATAATCATCCATCATGGATAGATGGCTAGATATAATGTTGTGACTAAGTTGTAACACAGTTGGTTCTGTGGACCCATTTTCTTTAGTTGAGTGAACAAACTCCTTCCTAAGATCAGCAGCCGTTAGCCATCAGCGGCCGTTAGCCATCAGCGGCCGTTAGCCATCAGCGGCCGTTAGCCATCAGCGGCCGTTAGCCATCAGCGGCCCTCTGCTGGCGGATGTTTAGTGTAACATGGAGCAGAAAGCTGAGGTCACTTCTCCTGTGAGCAGCTACATGTTGCTACAATCAGTAGTAGCCACGCAGGCTCACCCACTAGAAGGAAACAAACACACCCAGTACAACACTTTCATCCTATTGGCTGAGAGGTTGCCAGGCGACGGTACTTTTCTCTTCCAGAGAGCAGAAAATGATTCTGAGCAGAGGCGTCTGCAAGCGGAGATTTGATCCCAGGAGAGAGAAGTGTTGAGCGGAAGGAGAAAAGTTTGAGAGAGCAGAGTGAATATTTGAAAGAGAGCAGCAGTTTTGAGAACAAACATTATAAGTTTTAAAGAACAAAAGACACAAAGTGCTGCTTTCAGACTGAAAATGTGTGCTCTCGAATTATTGCAGAAAAATCCCCCCGTAGAGTTTGTGCTGATGTTCCTCTGGTCTCAACTGTTTGATTTCTAAGCCACATTTCGACTTGTCAATATATTTATAAAATCAAACTTATTTTAAAAAATTCAACAGTTTAAAGTATTTCCTGAGCAAAAAAAGTGATTTAAGACATGAAAAAGGTGAATCCAGAAGGATTTTCTGTCATTTCCTGGGTTAGCTTTACCTTTGGAATATAAATGTTATTAATCTTTAGTGACCAGAAAGACAATATGGAAAAAGTAGAGCTGCACATGAATCAATAGCTGTGCAATTGGTGAGCTGCTACATTTCCCGCATTTAGTCTGCATGCTGATTGGTTGCTGGATTGGACCTTCAGAACCTGATGAAAGCCATAGAGGGGGGGTTCCTACCTCAAAGTCCTGATACTGCTCCTCAGACAGGCACTTCTTGGCCACCACCAGGGTCCTCAGGCCCTCTCTGGCCATGTTCCCACACTGACAGGAAGCAAAGGAGACGACCTTCATCACAGTCTTCTTCACAAAAACAGGATTTTCTTTTGGTCAAACAGAACCTTTGGTCTCAGGGCATAGTCTTGGAAAATTAAACTTTCGCTTATTTACTGCTTAGGATGAAAATGAAGGTTTCTGAGCAGGTCTCATCCTTATGGAACTGATAACGGAGTGAAGATATTTGTTCTTCTCTTTCCAACAGAAACTCCTTTGAATTAGGGACAGAGGTACCAATTAACCAGAGATGGGAGAAACTTGGAGAAATTCCCTACAGCAGAGAGATGGTGGGAGGCACCGTGTCGGTGGCTGATCAGATATAAAAGGAGAATTGTGTGTTAAGTTTCACTTCTTCTTCTTCCTTCTTCTCTCAGACGCTGATACTTTTATTTTCTAAATAAAATATCTAAAGACAAATGTGCATTTCTCTGAGTGATTCAGAGTATCGCTCTCTCCCAAAATGAAAAAGATTTTTCCTAAACAGCATCTTGGCAAACAAAGCTCAGTCTAAATAATGTCGGAATCCCTGATTTAACCGTCAGATGTTCAATTATTCAGCATAAATTTAGGCAATGAATTGGCAACAAATAAGGAAAAAAACTGTCAGACGGACAGGGAGGGTTGAACCGGCAACCCTCCTTCATCTTCATCATCATCATCAGTGTACTGGGGGAAGCCCTGCGACTCCACCAGTCGGGTTCTGTTAGGAACCCCGGATCCTCTGGAGAGAACCAGAGAGGTTCTGGTGGTTCTGTGCAGCGACCCGGTATGAACGCAGATATGGGTCAGTTGAACAACGCCTTATTATAACCAACAGGAATCAACAGACAAGGAGAGCCTGACGTCCCTTTATTTCTGATATGAAAACCCCAATGGAGCTGCTGATTGGTTATTGACGGGCCAATTGGGCCGGGCTGCGGCGCCGCCCGCTGATCTGACAGCAGGATGTTACAGCCGACAGCTCTGATCATGAATATGACAAACACTCATTACACCAACTGGGTCACTAATTAAATCAGAAGCTGCCTCCAGCGCTGCATGACTCAATAATGCCAATGTGATGATGATGATGATGATGAGGATGAGGAGGAGGAGGAACTACCCTCAGATGAAGCTTCAGCTGCCAAAATGACCCGTTCTACCTCAGAGTCAAATCACAAACAAATAATGATTTTAACACAAACAAACAGAAACAGCATGGTGGTGGCAGCATCATGCTGAGTCAGGAGGGCTGAAAACACGTCGGGACACGAAGTCCCAGTAAAACCAGTGGAGCCGAGACGTTAGAGGGGTGAATACTTTAGGTCCGGTTCGTACCTCCTCCTCCAGCCAGTCGTTATACTGGACGATGGTCGCCATGGCAACGTCGGCCCCCTTCATGTAGAAGGTGATTTCTCCGGTGGCCTCCTCCTGAACACATCAGAAGAGCTTCATTACTTCCTGCAGGATGAGATCAGCAGCGGCTGCGGCAGCGGCTGCGGCACGCACCCGAACGATGATGCCCATTCGCTTGCTCTCCGACGTGAACGGAAAAACCTGCAGGATGAGGAAGGACAGGATCTGTCCTGATGGCGTCCGCAGCTGCAGCGACGTCAGGTCTCTGTTGACCAGGGTCAGCCCAACGCTCTCCGTCCAGCGCACCAGCGCCACCTGCAGGACCAGAACATCTGGGTCAGACAGAGGACACCGGGTTCTGATCCAGAACCACCTGCAGGGCTACAGTTTTACCCTGGCTACCCTGGAGGGTAACAGGCCAGGAAATAAATCCCCATCAGGAGGGCATGACCTCTGACCTTCAGCCCATAAACATCCTCCAGGTGGAGGAGAAGTGCAGTCGGTCTCTTGAGTCAGGCTCCTCCCACCTGCAGGTCGGCCTGTGGCTCCCCGATCCGCTGCAGTTCGCCCATAAACCTCGGGCTGCGCTCCCAGGCCCTCAGGACCCCGAGGGCGGCCGCTGCGTTTGCCTGAGGACTTTGGGCTCAGAGCCGTTTCTGGGTTTACCGTCTACGGGTTTCTGTTTCGATAAGTTCAGCCGCTATGGCGCCAACGTGGCGGTCATGACATCATGGTGCGTCTCACCTCGTCTGGGCTGGAGGCCTGGTAGGTCCGGTTGTCGTCGCTGAAGTCCTGGTCGGCCTCCGCCGACTCCGTCTCCCCGGCGGCGGCGTGCGACTCGTAGACCGGCGTCACGTTGTGGCACAGAGCGACGGCCTTCACCGCCTCGTGGATCCGGCTGCTCACGCTCTTTCGGACCTTGGGGCCCTGCGGCGGGTTGCTCCGTGCCACCGCAGCGTTCCCGGTGCCGCCTCCGGAAGGCTGAGTCGGACCCTGAAAGGTTGAGAGAGCTTTGGATTTTGATTCAGGACCGGTTCCGACTGATCCATTTGCTAGCAATAGGATCGGTCCAAACTGAATATTCATCATAAAAAGTGATGGAAAGCTGAGCTGAAGCAGGAGAACCAGAGCCGCCAACGGGCCGAGCCCAGCAGAGTTCTGGTCTCACTAGCTGAGGGAGGAGGATGGTTCCGGCTCCAGCAGCTGCTTGGACCGGATCAGAACCACCCAGCAAGGAGAACCCGAGGGAGCGCAGGGATGAATGGAGCAGCTTTCCTGTTGGACTCCCCGCCTGACGCCGAGCGGCGGGAAGCCTTCCAGCTCCAACTTTATGGAACGAACTTTGGGAACGTTCAATCTATTGATCGATCGATCAAATTTATTTGATCATTTCATCAACAAAGCAGTTCAAAGTGCTTTACATCATAAAAACCCAAAAATAAAAGCCAAAGTCTCCAACTGAGAAACCTGAAAACGTTTCATTCCAACCCTAACCCAACATCAGAATCATCAACACATCAGATAAATTGATCAGTTATTATTAATCAAATCGATTCTAAGCAGCTGATTTCTAGTCCTGATTTAAAGGAGCTCAGTGTTTCAACTGTTTTTCAGTTTTCAGGAAGTTTGTTCCAGAACTGTGCTGCATAGAAGCTGAATGCTGCTTCTCCGTGTTTGGTTCTGGATGCAGAGCAGAACCAGAACCAGAACCAGAAGCAGGTCCAGGCGGGTACGGCGGCTCACCTGAGCGTAGGACTGGACGATGTGGCTCTGGATCTCGTCCATGGTGTCGTTGCCGTAGGCGACGGTTCCCAGGTGAAGCCGCTTGAACACCATCTCGTTCTGCGTCAGGGTTCCTGCGGGCGGAGCGAGCGGTTCGGGTCAGAGGGAAAAGGTTCTGCTTTGGGTCGGGATGCACCCTGCAGCTTTAAGGGACAGAACCGCCCTCACAACCCGCTCCCTGCCAGGTTCTGGTTCTGGTTGGTGCTCACCTGTCTTGTCTGTCAGCAGGTAGACCAGCCGGCCCAGTTCTTCAGGGATGGTGCTGGTTCTGACCACGGTGCCGGGAATGTTTTCGTCTCTGGTGATCATCCATCCGTACGCCGACTTCCCCATGTCCAGGTTGACCCGCAGGCTGCGGATCAGAACACAGGTTCACTTCCTGCCTCCGCAACCCGACCGGAGGCGGATCGGGTCAGAACCACACGCACCTGATGGGAATGATGTAGGAGAACAGGACCACGAAGCGGAAGAGGTTCCGGAACCATGGGCCCACGAAGCCCTGCAGCGCCACCATGACGATGGACAGAACCAGCTGGGCCAGGAACAGGGCTTTGGTGAGGCGGTTCAGCTCCAGGTCCAGAAGGCCCACCTGAGGGGGGTCAGAACCACAGTTAGCAGAACCAGAACCACCCTGCTGGCTAAAGCAGGTCTCCAAGGAGGGAACAAACACGTTACTCTTCCTCCGACCCAGAACCTCCAGAACCCACCACTGCAATTCATTTATTGCTGACCTGAACGGACTAAACCTGCGCTAGCTTTGTGGCTAAGCGCTAGTGCTGAGTTCAGGTGATTGGACTAGACCTGGCTCGGAAACCGTCACCTTGTTCTTGGCGTGGGACGTGTTGAGGACACTCCGAGTCTCCTTCCCCGTGTAGATCACCACTCCGATCACCGTTCCTGCCAAACACGGACACAAAGGAAGCGGCTCGGTGAAGGCAGAAGGTCCGACCCTAACCCTCTGCTGATGATGTCATCGCCCTGTGAGCAGCTGATTCATCTAAACGACCAAACCTTCATCCCTCCTCCTCCTCACCTGATGCGACCACGGCGCTCGCCCACAGCGTGTTGTCGATGCTCAGGCTCTCATGGATCTGCGGTTCCACGTCTTCCTGCGAACAACAAGCTGAAGCTCAAATGTTTTCATACACAACTAAAGTTCATAGGTCACATTTTTAGGTCCGTTCAGGTTTATGAAACTATTTGTTACAAAAAAACAAAACAAATTGCAGGAAAAACTCCTGAAAACGTTTCTACAAGTAAACTTCTAATCCGTTCAGCAGATTATAATCTGGAGCGAAGCAGCAGCATCACTAAAGATGGCCGCCTGAAAGCGACCAGGAACCCGAAGCTCCGCCCCCGGCCGTCATGATCCATGAGGAATCAGCAGGAGGAGCTGCAGGACTCGGCCTGCCAGCTCCTCCAGAACCAGAACCAGAACCGGTCCGGCAGCTTGTGTGCTGAAGGCCGCTCACCCGGGTGAAGTTTCCCTCGAAGCTGTGGATGTCCAGCTGGGGCTTCTGGGCGTAGACGAAAGCACTGATGGAGAACAGGTCCTGCAACGAGACCGGCCGCACTTTTCAGTTAACCGTCCGAAAAACTAAAACCGTGCCGTTAGCCGTCGCTAATTAGCCGCCTGTTAACGGCTAACGCACCCCGACCGCTGCCAGGCACTGAGTGCAGCTCACTGCCACCTTCAGCTTCCAGTCCGTCTCTCCGTCCAGCTGCTCCGTCCGGATGAAACAGGCTCCTTGGAGACGCAAACACCAGGCAAAACATTATGACCACTAACCCAGGCCGGACCAGAACCCTTCTGGACTCGGTCAGGCCGTGGACACTGACCCGTTTTCTCCGACGTCCTCAGGAAAATCATGTCTGCAGGAATCCTCTGGTTCTGCAAAACAATAAAATCTGTTAGCAGGCATGAAGACGAAGCAGCAGAGCTGCTGATCAGTCATTCATTGATGGAGTCTGACCCGTTCTGGTTCTGGTTGGATCCAGATTCAACATTCCCAGAGTTTTCTGCTCTGAATTGTGAGCCACAGAGTTTCTACACCTTTCATTTAAGGCAAATGTCAAAAGGACTTTTTCAGACCTTCAAGAATTTAATTGCCGTCTGCTAGAAGGTAAAATGCAGAATAAATGATTTTACTTTTTTCTTAGCAGGAACAAAACCTCTGGCTCCTGAATTTGTTCAACTTGGTGAATTTTGTCCATGATCCAGAAAGTGTGGACCGCCCTGGTTTCCAGCAGCTCCTCCTGCTTCCTGCTGGCGCGTCGCTCTGATCGGCCTGCCTGGCGCTTTCTGACCCAAATCAGCTTTTATTCAGATTTAAGAACCAAACGACCGTTTTCTCTCTTTATGATTACACAGGAGGACTTTAGCTGAGAAACTGTCCAATCTCAGTGAAATACTTGAGTCCCCCTATTCTCCACCAGCAGACGTCCATGTCGCAGGTAAGATACTGACTGCTCAGGAACAGAAAAACCCTCTTATTATTATTAATTTCACAAAGTCCAGTGATGGCCCTGCAGGCGGTTCTGACCCACTCTGCTGAGCCGTCAGCAAACACTGCAGGTATAAAACTCTATAATGGAATCACATTAATCTCCCCAGAAGAACAGATTTAGACAGGCAGTGTTACCTTTTCAACGATTATCAGGTCTCCAACTTGTATATCTGAACTTTTCACTTGGACTTTACCTGAAAAAATAAAGAAGCTTCAGAGGAACAACAAGGCGACGAAACAACAAATCAGAAAGTCGTTTTAAAGAGCGGTGGAAAAAACATCAGGTATTGATTTCTGATGCTCTAACAATGACCTCCAACAGGAAAACATTAAAGCTACACGTCTGATATTTATGCATCAGGATCAAGTAGAGACACTGAAACGTGATTTTCTGAGTCTGAACCTGCTAAACAGATCAATCTGTGTTTGTGTCGAACCTCTGACTGTCAGCTTGCTGTAGAGCTGAGAGTTCATCTCTTTGTCCCGCTGATGGCGCCGCACTTCGTCCACGGCTTCCCGCACCATCGTCACGGCCAACACGAAACCCTGAGCAGAACCGGCAGCTCCATTATTTCGGCGCCGCGTTAGTCTACTCAATAAAACATGTTGATAAAAAAATATCTGCAGCAGATGTAAAAACTGCATTTTAAACTCATCGTCCAAACTCAACATGAAACAGGAGGAAAGATGTTTTATATCTCTAAACTAAAAAACAATGGAAAATTAAAGTAAATAAAATAAAACCCGGTTTAGACAAAATTATAATTTTTTTTTTAAAAGTTACATTTTTAACATGGATAAAAATAAGATTAAAAAATTAGAGGAAAATTGTTTTCAAAATATTTCTATCATTTAAAACATAATTATACAAAATGAAGTAAAAACCAAATAAAAGCTGGATAACAAGGATGAGACGCCGACCAGAGGGGCCCAGTACGTGTACAGGTATCCGATCTTCAGCGCCGGGACGAACTGGGAGCACGAAACCACCAGGAAGTACAAGTTGAGGAAGAACTTGAACTGCTGGTACAGAACCTGGGAGACACAAACGCACAGCTTCAGGTTCTGGTTCTGTTGGACCGGCTGGGACAGAAGACTCATTTTCACTCTAGAAGCAGGTGACCTTTGACCCTCCCCAGGTCATCGCTGTCGTCTTGCCACCGTGGTGTCACGTTAACGCGCAGCAGAGCTGATCAGCTGATCAATACGTTTGATCAGGAGGATGGCGCCGCCGCCTCGTTTTTTCAGCACAAAGTTTTTCAGAGGGGAAGATTTAATGTGAAACACCAACTTCCTTCAGCGCTTTTATTTTGTGGATCAATTCAGCAAAATCCAGGTGAGTGGGACTCAGAGAAATCCTCCAGGTGCCAAGCCCCGCCCCTCCGCGAGAGCGTTGGCTAATTACTCGCCCAGTCGCCATCCAACACCACGCCACACAACGCCACGCCACCCGACGCCACGCCACCCGACGCCACGCCACCTGACGCCACGCCAACTGACGCCAGGCCACCCGACGCCACGCCACCCGACGCCACGCCACCCGACGCCAGGCCACCCGACGCCACGACACCCAACACCACGCCACGCCAGGCCACCCGGCG